TCTTTGGTATAATCTACAGAGGTATGTTTCCACTTTAACTTTGTGTTCTTCAAATTCTTGCCGTTAGATACTGACCTTTACCTTACCAATTACTAGATCATGACTACATGTGCAGAAGCTAGTATTTCTACTACTTCCTACTCACTGTAACCCATCAATTTTGTACAAACTGATCATCATTTTTATTTCTTTTATCGATTTGCCATGTTTGCATTTAGCCAGATACCTGGCTAATGGATTTGCCTTTAAGGGCAGAGTTCAACTTGTGGTATGTTTACATTATTGTTGGTTGCCATGTTGTTCTTTCAATTCCCTCTTTGCATGTTGTTGCACGAGTTATTCACCAGATTGTCTTTAGATTAATTGAAGACTACTGCATAGAAGAAGGTGTTGGAGGGAATGAGGAATGGGTGGAGACTCATGTGGAATATAAACACCGGCACAGATTAATTGAGCCCCTTTGCGGGCTGTACGTTCTTTGTAAATGTTTATATAAAACTGGAGTTTTCACGCGCTGCAAATACAGTGTGTTTCAACTGATAACTATATTTGATTGATTTGAGTCATGAAGAATATATTACCACATGGGGTTCATTAACTGCACACTGTAGTTTTGTTAATTCCACAGTTAAAGGTGTTACACAACTGGCCAATCAACCACGAGTCAGTGCTGACCTTACCCATGGTTGCTGACATAAGCAAAGGTAATTTTGTCTCCCTAATCCAGCTCACAGAGCTTCTCTCAAGGGAAAATGATTTAGCAGCATTACAGCCTATAAAACAACAGGGATTATCCCACTATAGAAACAAGGTAATCTTTCATTTACTATTCCGAGAGTTTATGATGGTATAATTTTTCATTCGCAAGAGAACATGTGGTACATTTGATATTTATAGGAGCTACTCAGATTACAATACATTTCTTTTCTTTTTCACCTTTCCGAGAAATGTTTTTTTACTCATTAGGAAATGGTGTGTGTAGGTGGGTGGGGGGACAAAATTAGGGATACAAAATTAGGGATAAGTAACAAGAGGCACAGTTTCTATCAGGAATTTAAAATTTGACTTTTTTTTCAAAGCAATTTACTCAGACAGCTGACCTTCTTCAGCATACAATCTCAATGCGTAATGATGTCACAGAACAAGTACATAAAGTTTCAGGGAAACAGCACCACATCTCTGGGAAGCTGACACTCTTGGCATTGCTTCCTGTGAAAACACTTCCTATGCATGCGGTAGACTGGCAACATTTTAGTCCTCATGCCAACAAAATCAAATAAAATGTTGGCAGGAACAAAGCTCAAGTTTTGCGAAATAAAACGCAAGTCTGTCCACAATCGTAAGAAAACACAGGAAAAGAAAATAGTTTAACGTGAAGTAACACTGAAACATTCCTAGCAGTTTCCTGACCACAACCAAGTAGACGTCAAATCACATTTCCATCTAGGTTGAAAATTCGTAGATGTTTTAAAAATATGCTCGCTAGAAATAATCTAATAATGCTCCCTAATCTAACAAAGTATCATTCTCTGGTGCTTTTTTTTAATATCATGATATAATTATTTAAAAAGGATAAGTGTAAGAAATCACATGCGGTATGAAGGGAACCTTCTTCACGTCTATAAACGTTCACTTAAAGATAGGCCACAGATAGGTTCATAGATAAACTTATAAATAATAATAAATAATAATTATAATTATCCTTGCATTTGAAATAGCGCCTGATCACGTCGTTGAGACAACTCAAAGCGCTTCACAGAATACACTGTAAAGTGAGTTGACTGTGTATTTTGTGGGACGAAACGCGGCAGCCTGTTATGTTATACTGATTGTACATCATCACTCTCTATTTGCACGTTACCTTGTGCAAGGCAAGTCTTCGAAGTTTCTTGCTGGGTCTCAGCCTGAAAATAGAAGGAGCCTTGCTGATCTATCAGTTCTATAACCAAGTCTAGTTTGGGGTCCAGTTCAGAAGTTATGAAAACATTACGCTTGCAAAATGTAACATACCATTTCTATGAAGTCCATGATTGTTCAAGATCTATGATGGTATCCTCGCGACCTTCCCAAGAGATGGAAGAATCACAGACTTTAGCAGCCTCGGGCAACTTGAGAATCAATTCTGTTTCAAGTTGTTTGCAAGCTGGGGTAATAATTCCTTCAAAATAAATTGAAATAACTTGGTGACTCAATCCACAACTGTTTGTGGGACGCTGCTGTGCGCAATTGGCTGCCGCATTTCGCCCACAAAATATACAGTCAATTTACTTTACAGTATATTCTGTGAGCGCTTTGAGACGTCTCAAAGACGTAATAGGACACTACGTCAAATGCAAGGATTATTATTATTATTATCTGTGGGGGAAACAGCGCCTGCAATCTATCCATAATAGTGCTGTAAACTAAAGGTGCCATCAGAACAAGAAGCTAAGCGTTGATGAGGCCATTAAGATGGAAACAACCCAAGGCATTTCAGAATGGAACAATTAAAAAACACTATTATTCTCTCCAAAGGTCTGGCAAGTAGGGGCTCTAGGGAAAAGCCAATGGAACAGGAGCCATTTCATGGGTTACCCTGCTCAATTCTAATGAAATAAACTACAAGATAACTTATCTTTCTTCCTTCCTCTCTCTCCATCTCTTTCTTCATTTTCTTCCCAGTTTGATATCTAGTGAAATCCTGTGTTTATTGATGAAATAATAAGTGTTTATTGATTGCCTGGTCTGATAAGGCTCTGAATAAGGAACAAAGAATGATCTTAATTGTACCTGAACCATTGTGCTCATCTAATATCCATTCATTGGTGTGTTATATAGTTTTCATTCATTCAATAATTATTGTTTCAGTATCTTTGATTCAATTCGAAAACACAGCAGATTAAAAACTGTAAATACAGCCCCAGTTTACTAGAGTCAATGCAAAGACAACTCTTACACAGTGTAAATTTTGATGAGTGGTCTGTGGGACTACACTCTGGCTTGGGGCTGGGAGCAGATTTCTGCCTAGTGGTCTAATAACTTTTTGTTTAAAAAAATAATAGCGTTCAGTGCCAGAGAGGAGTTCTGCCCTGATTTATTTTCATTCAGTCAGTGCTTGGCTTTCTCTGAACTCAGGTCTGGGTGATGGAAATTCAAGGAAGCAGCATAACGTAGGTTCCTACTCCAAATCGCATCACTTCTGCCTTTGTTTCGCCCACAAAATATACAGTCAATTCACTATACAATGTATTCCGTGAAGCGCTTTGAGACATCTCAACGATGTGATAGGGGGCTGTATCAAATGCAGGGATTATTATTATTATTATGGTTGTTTGTATTCCTGCAGTATAACTGGAGAATTAAGCTTTGTACACAAGGGTGGAGCCTGTTGTGTCGGGCACCAGGTGATTGGTGTATCTACATTTGCATTAGTCTTGCTCAGCTGCGCCCAGCATTACATTCAAAACTAATAATAAGGAAAGGGTCAAGCCATAGCCCTGAGGGAGCCTGGCTATGGCACACTGGGATACATTTCTGAAAAGGAATGACGAGAAAAGCATGAATGGAGGATTGGAAGTTGGAAAGATTATAGCCAGAAGGAACCACAACAGTGATCTGTTCAATGACATTTAACAACACGTGTAAGACATTGGTTCTCAGTCATTTGCATCAGTGAGGAAGGACCCACAAATAGCCCAGAGGTGAATCACTAATTAATCTGGAGGATTATTGGCTAAAACACCACCCTTTTCAAATAGTGTCGCTGACCTGAACAGACAAACACAACCATAATTTAACGTCTCCTCTCAAAGATGATATGTTTTTGCTCAATTTCGGGAAATTTTGCTGTGGGTATTCAGTTTTATGAAATAACAGCCAAACAGGAGAGGAAGGAGGTATACACACCCTTTTTTTATGTTTAGCTGGATGTCTGACACATACAGAAACCCATCACCATGCTTAAGAATGAACAAACCAGACGAAGAGTTCAAAATATTTTGGCTACGGGTGCAAATGTAATGCACTCTCCTCACTGGAGGGATGCACCCTGCTTACCTAATTCCAGAATGTATTAAGTTGGTAATAGCCAAGGCTTGGAGATCTCAGAGTATTGGTTGGAGTACTGCTGGCGCTAAAACCAACTAAAACTGCATAGCTTGCCAATGCAAGCACTGTCCAGCAAACATCCTGCTGCTTTTCCAGCTGAGATGACCCGACTACGAGAATATTGGTTTGCGAGCTTAACAGGAGCAGAGAGGGCAGTAGAATCCTGTAGCTCAGTGGTTAGAGCACTCGCCTCGCAGGAGAGACCTGGGTTTGATTCCCGGCAGGGCGAAATGTTTGGCAAGTTTCCTTACTCCACACGCCTCTATTTACCTAGCAGCAAATACGAACCTGGTTCTTAGCCGATTGGCGGATCGCTTTTCCGGGGATAATAATCCCTAAAAGAAAACAATAATAATTTGGTCACTTAATCCACGACTGTTTGTGGGACCCTGCTATGTGCAATTGGCTACCGCGTTTCGCCCACAAATATACAGTCAATTCACTTTACAGTATATTTTGTGAAGCGCTTTGAGACGTCTAGAAGATGTGAAAAATGCTATATCAAATGCAAGGATTATTATTGTTGTTATTATTATGATTATCAAAACGCAAAATACTGCAGATGCTGGAAATCTGAAAGAAAAACAGAGGTCGCTGGGAACACTCAGCAGGTCAGGCAGCATCGAGGGAGAAAGCAAAGTGAGTCATAATATTAATTATTATTATTATTATCTATGCCCCCAGTCCTGCCAACATGTGCAAAGATGTAAATCCATCTGATCGACGACAAGCCTCACTAGCTTTGCTACCATCATTTATCACACTGTATTTTGTCGCTTTTCACAAAATGTAAAATGTGATTGTCCAATATCAAAAGAACCCGGCAATAGTCCTAAACTTGTCCATGAAGTTTTTTAGTTTTCAGATTACTGTAAACACGTATGGTCTTTGTTCAACCCAGTCTCATTACTTACCATTCAGAATATCTTTCAAATGTTTAAACCAAATGTTGCAGTGATCTTCGCTTAAGTTGCTCAGATGGATAGCATGTTCTTTGAATTTATTTTGTCCCTTGTTCATACACACGAAGATGGTGATTCCTAATAGAGTTCCTCCCTTTTGTTGCCCCACAGATCGTCGACGTTTCAGCTTAACGGCAAACACGTCTTTCAGCTCCACAAACTCTTCCTTACACTGAGAAGTGTCACCTGTATCAAAAGCACAACATTACTCTCGGGAACTCTTTGGTTATTCACAGAAAAAAATACATAAAATCATCATTTGTACACAGGCGTACAGTGTTTAACTGAAGATTAAAGCAGAATTAATGCTTTGACAACAATAGAGATTATAGGTTATTCAGTAAGCACTGAAACTGAACACGTTTTGCTTAACTTTGATCCTCATATTATTCATCATTCAAAATATCCAATGCTCCTGGAGAATAACAGCGGCCCATTTGAAAAATGAGAAATCAACTCCCTTAACTGCCTTTCAAACATAATTTAACTCGGTGGTCAAGTTTTGTTAGCTCTCAGCTGAACCAGTAAACCGAATGTCTAGAGGGAGTGGAGTGCTGCAACTTAGGGGAGACAGAAAAGATAGTGGGGCCAGTTTCATTCAACAAACGCACACCTTCTGCCAGTCAGTAATGAAGTGGTACTGGTGACAGCTGTGAATAAGTCTGTAACCCAGACTGTAAAGAAGGAGCTGTGGAGCAGGTGCCATTGGTGGAGTTTTAAAATGGGGGGTTTAAAAAAGTAGATATGTAAAATGTTTTATAAAATGAGAAATATCTTATTGTAATGCTGCAAAAGGATGTTCGAAAGGATATTCAAATGGCAATACAGACAGATCCAAAAAGCCCAGTCGATTGTGGTATGTGTTTTAGGTATGATTCAACATGAACCCTACTAAATTTAAAATGCCTTTTATGCTCTACTTCTTTCATAAAACATAAAAAAAGTTTCTATTTCTAAGAAACAAAACTAAAAACGTTATCTAAAAAGACTGCACTTAACACAACTTAAGTTACAAAGTAATTGCTATTTGTTTCTGTTCTGCTTATTGCAGGAGGTAGTTTCCCTTTAATATTATTTTTAAAGTTAAAAAAAATGTGGTCACTCAATCCACGACTGTTTGTGGGACACTGCTGTGCGCAATTGGCTGCCAAGTTTTGCTCATAAAATATACAGTCAATTCACTTTACAGTCTATTCTATTAAGCACTTCGAGACGTCTCGAAGATGTGATGAGGCGCTATATCAAATACATGGATTATTGTTATTATTATTTTTCAGTTCACCACATCATTTGCCAATGCCACTAAAGGAGCCACATGAGAAATCTAGGATGGCTGTTCCTTTAAAAAAGCACCTAACCTCCGCTCAGCATTTCCTACTTTGTGATAATTGTGGTTACATTTACGTACGTAAGGTTGAACCAATATTCTTCCAGAATACATGATCCACTTTGTAGTGTAGTGAGTCTCGTGAATACGTTGTGGGTAAAGCTTTGCAGGCAAAGCTTTTGTGAGCTTTGTAAAGATGGATTTTTTTGAAGTACTAATGAATATTTATTTACATTGGCAACAATGTCATAACTGACCCTCCTGCTCAAAAAATATGGGAGAGCAGGCAAGGTAAATGAAGTATCGAAGGAGTTTGAATTTTAGTATTATACTTATCATAAACATAATTTTCGATACAGTACTCTGATTTTTCTTACTGACTTCCTTCATGTGTGATTCAGTAAGGTCTCATCTGGGATTTGAGTGTGCACCTCTTAAATATATTATTTATTTTGCTTATTTAGCCTTATGTCTTCATTTTCCCTGCGTTTACTGCTTTGTCAGCAAGAAAATAAACCTAGCTCTCTACCTGGAGTCAATGATGCAAGCACTAAAGAATTAAAAAGGCTACTGGTGATATTGTCTTATTAGGCAAAGATGCAACAAAATATAATCAACTCTTGTAGGCTTGAGAAGGGGCAGTAAGCTGAGGCCTTGTCTGAATCAATCTTGGCACATCTGCCTGATGCACACCGTAAACAGGATTAGAGTTGGATTTAATCTGTTTGACGCTAATTGTGTTCACAGCTCTTGCACATGTTCACTTTTTGAAATGGCTTGTATTAAAATAAGATGCCCGACACATGAAACTTTTCATGTTTATATATTAGGCAAATGATAAAGTCTGGCATGATATGGGTATCCCACAATCTTTTTGGCAAGGCAACTCTTTATTGCCTGACCATCCAATTAAAAATATAAGATTCTGTTTGAATTTACCACATACTGTGTGAAACCAATAGGATAAAAAAAAAGCAATACATGTGAATGCACGTTCATTTTGAACACAAATCCAATTTATATTTAACTCACGTGCCCTTTCAGACACATATGTTATGCATATCTCGGTAGATCAAATCACACTAGAAGTTATTTATTATAGCAATCTCAATAGAGAGACTAATTTATTATTAATTTAAGAATTTTATAAACCTGTTGGGTATTTCAGATGCACAGAAATATGTATGAAACTTATTAGGTATAATATGCATCAGATTCACTCAATGCACTGTCCAAATCCCTCACAAACATCTAGCTCTGAATGAACTATAACTTTATACAGAGCAGCATCAACAAGATTAGGCCAACTTTTTCCACTTCTCACCAGCATTCATTTAAGCTTCCTGACGGTGATGTGGAAACTCTGAATCCTGAGCTGAGTTTCCATCCACAGCCAGTTCCACAACACTTCCACAATGCACAACATCTGGTTAAATCGGGACATAAACACAACAAATAGGTGGAAGAGTAGCAATACAGGTTTACAAAGAATGGACAGCATGGAATCCAGCCACCCCAACCAATCTGTTTGCTGATGTTTATACTCCGCACAAGTCTTCACCTATTCCTTACTCCCTCCCATAGGCTTCTACATCCCCCCTCTCCCACATGCAACAACAACTTGCATTTATATAGCGCCCTTCATGCAGGTTAGCGTCGTGGAGCTCTTGACAGTGCGGAGCTTGACATCGAATGAATCTAAACATCATAAAGAGAAGTCTGATGCATTGGATTACATGAAGAATCAAAACAACCTTTGACTTCCTCATTCTAATAAAATAAACAACCTTTAGAGTAATAAGATTGAAAACGATGAAGGATAATTAACATACTTATTTATGTAACATTTTAAGAGATTCGTGAATTTGTCTTATTCTTAAATCTTTATTTTGAAGCCAGTTTTCTGCAAGTTCCGTGAAAGAATAAAGAGAATAAATCTAGACCCAAATAAAATGTCTCACCACACGAGGAGAGAATGAATGTACGAAAGCAAAGATTTTTCACGTGCCCAATCGGTGTGTCAATCATCACTGCTCCTACGCTTACAAAAGAAGGGTCGACTCCTGCAATATCAAATAACTGATACCATACAGAACATCAATAGGGGCCTTGTTCGGGAGGAAAAGCTTCAAAGGCTAGGGATGGTGCATCTTGGGTTGGAGAATACATCAGCAGTAGTTTTGTTCTTGTTAGGTCGACAATTACAGTAGCAGAATAGATTAATTGTTAGTCTTAGGTCACTGCTGATTCAGCAAACCTCGCAGAACCTCACAAATCCTCTCACACAAATAACAGCAATGATTGGCTTTCAAAGGGGTCTTCTTGTGGCTTGTTTTTCCAGTGTTTTTGCTCGGTCATAATGTTACCAATTCTGATTTCCATCAGAAAAATCTCACCTGCGGTTAACAAAACTATTTATCCAATTTAACAAAAACTGTTTTACTTAAAAGACAATTATGTAATAACAATATTGTTATTACATAAATGTCCTTGTTTGATTCTCAGAATTAAATACAGTATGTAGAATTGGTAACATTTTTAGTTTTTTTTAAAAAAAAACAGGACAGTATCCCTTTTATTGCATTAAGGAATCATTGATAAGATATGAATGGATCAAACCTTAATTTCAGTCACAGTGAGAAGTCTAAAGATTAAATAAAAATGTGCAATCTGCTAGAAAAGTTATTGCTTCCAGATGGATATCAGCTTCATCAGAACACTAATTATCCTCACTGTATGCATGAAGTAACCAGCACTATAATACCACAAATTGGCAAAATGCATTACATATGACACACAGCAACAACCACTGTCCTAATCTTCAAACACAGTTGCTGCTGACACTTAATCTTGAGTGGAGCTCTCATGCCAAAAAAACACCTGCCACATGGGAGTACGTTGGTTATCTAAAATGTAACTTTTCACAGCGTTCTCAACATTGAATCAGAAGTACTTACTTCCATCAATTTGACAGGTTTTGTTATTTTGGGACATTCTAATGCATTTCTCCACTGACGTTGACGAGCTTTGACGCAAACGTTCGAAACTATAAAAATTGAGGCATCTTATTTTCTCCCCACTTTTTCGTTGCAATTGTTGCAAACGGCTGCTGCAGAGTTCAAGCCTGACTTGTGGCACTCTGTCCTAATATATTATTCATGTCTTCGAGTACACTACAGTACTTCCATTAAGATGTTATTGTGACATAAGAAAAACAAATCTACAATACTAAGATCTTATAGAATGAGTGCACATACAAAGACATCAATGATATTTTAGACTTTAATGACCCACACCAAAATACTGCGCCATCCACAACATATGAGAATCATAAATAAATCCATATTCTGAAATGAGTTTTTTTTCCATGGTTCTAATATATTACTTTTCCAAATTTAAAGCTATCAGTCTTTGTACGTGAAGAAAGTCTACTGATTCCCCTCCCCCACCAAAAGGCTATATGAGCTTGCAAAATGTCTAATTTACGTGCTAATACATTACAGTAAAAGCATTTTATCCAAACGTTTTTTGTGAGTTCAGTTTGAAAATTGCGCATCAAAAATAAGACTTACTATGGGATTTTTTTTGGCAAGGATTCTATTCAATTGGCATTATTCCATGTGTTACATTGCATGGAGTTCAGCAACTTGCTCTGCGTCTGTATGGTTAGGGGTTGATGCAGTATATATACTATGTGCGTAGGGAGTTCTCAAAATGAAGGCCAAAATCCAAACTAATTTAATAAAGTGCATTAATTCTCAGTTTTCCAACAAAATGAATAAAAACATAATATGTAATCCCAAGCAAATACTACTCTCCTTTTTGTACTCAGTGTAGATGAAAAGGCTTCATGTTCATC